TGTTTTAATATGAGAGAAAATCTTTGTGGAGATTTTTCCGTGGACAGGTTGATGTGGATAGTTTGTAATTGGCAATCCGAGTGTTCTATCTGATCATGTTTCCTAGGATTCTGTTCATTAAACGTATGTTGGCGTGGACAGAATCTAAAAAGTGCAAGTGAACAGATTCAGCAGCACCCAGATACATAAGGTTATGGACATGCATATATGGAGATGAGGTTATGGACATTGTGTATATGTTGTTTCGACCATTCGATGGAATCTTGATTTCTCTCATTTTGAGCATACTTAATTGTTTGCATTAATGCATGTATGGTTGAGCCATTTTTCTTTTTAAAACTATAGGAAGCATACATGTATGTGTAGGTAATAGATTGTTTAAAGATGTGCTAGAGGCCGGGTTTATGTTCTATATACCAACGAAGTGAGACATTTATTTGAAAGTTGTTAGCACAACATTTTTCTGGATAATAGGATCGTCAACCCGAGAAAAGCAGTTATTGTAGCCAGAGAAATGGTAAGAAACTGACGAAGGAGATCTTCTCTCTCCTTGGACGCTTATTTGAGGAGTTGATGTTCTTTTTCGATAGCCGTGATTCGGGATGTGAAGACGGACTCATCCATTTCTTTTGGCGTTGATCCGACCATATGATTGATGACTTGGTTTTCGAGTTTCAGAATAACTATGTGGAGGTTGTGAATTTCTTGGCTCTGGCGGCAGATCTGGTCTCTGGCGTCTATCACACTCTCTTTCTGCCAATCGTCGGGCTTCTCAATGTTGTACCAGCTAACGAAGTCATGGGATTGGCATTTGAGGTATCTGCGGCTGGGGTTTGCGTCTGTCCATGCTTTGGAGACGTCTATTGGTTCGTTGCAGTGGCAGAAAGGGCCATCTACCCGGATGGAGAGGGTGTGGCTGTGAAGTGTGCAATGTTCATGAACTATTAGACCAAGACATTGGTGGTATGTCTTTGAAGGCAGTCGGCGGATTAGTTTGCAAGGATTGTATTTCTAGTTTAAATATAAGCTGATTTAGGTTTAGTAATGGTGTCGTTTGTCCATAAGTTAGTGTCCATCTGTTAATGTTCAGCCGATAGTGTCCATAATGTGTGTGCAGTTGTTGGGTGCTAGGTCTCTGAACCGTATTTAGTCAGTCGTTGGGTGGACGCGAGAATGAGCAGATCAAGGTAACAGTAGGGGACTAACACAATATTCCTGGACGTACAAAAACAAAGGAATTGGATTATAGTTAAGGGAGATCATGTAATACAGAAAAACAACGATAGAGATACGATAGTACATATGATAGCGAATGTAGAAGGGGAAGCGAAAAGAGTACAATCTAGTTCATAAGCTGAAAAGGGTCGTATGTCACGGCAGAGTTAGTTGTAACTGGATCATAGTTTTGGCCATTTACAAAAAGGAATTTATTGGCCCGGATCCACAGATTTACACAAAAAGGTCTTACTGATGCGTTTTATGCTTGAGTGTTACGGGGTCTCCTGCAACGTGTAATTCCATGAACTTGACAGCAACTGGCCCACAGTCGCCGGTTCTTTTGTTGTGGTAAAGATCCTCTAGCCGATTCCAAGTGTATGGGCGGGTTCCATTTTGTTGCGATGTCTGTGGGCATAGGCTCTTTATTGCGTATGGGAGCATGTCGCAGATAGGGTGCATCCACGTTAAAACCTTCCTTTTGCATTTAAGCTTGGAGAACGGATCTAGTATCTCAATGTGCCTGAGGCTGATGTCAATGGCGAGACCAACCCAGTGTTTATTTTCCCAACACATAGGGGCGTAAATGGATTTAGTATCTTCGACCCACTTAGCGCTGTGGTAATATGCGAAACGTCTTAGTTCTTCCCATCTCATTCGGTTGCGGTCCTTGGCGGTAGAGAACTTGCGTTCTTTCGCAAGCAGATGACCGAGAAGACTTGGATCACAAAAAGAGACAACCTCCTGGCCCGAAGTAGACGTGTGCCTTAATGCGAGCCATGACATAAGGACCTCCATGTGCTGTGAAACAATGTATGTCAATGGGAGGGATGTAATAGGGATGTATGTAGGAGATGGTGGCATGATATGCTTACCCGTGTGGATGTCCATGCTTTTGGTGTGGATAGGTCCAGCAGGAACTTGTTGTCGAAAGCCCCACATACATTTGTGTAGTGAGTCTTGTATTACATATGCCGCCGATGTTTAACTAAGTATATGACAAATGCAGGCTACACAAAGTTCCTACATAGTGCATTGCAAACTTACAGAGATGGCGAGGCTGATAGTGTCTGAGTGAATATCGTCCACTCCTGCTAATCGAGTGGTCGTATTAGTTGCCGTAGCCCTCAAATGATCTTCTCTCGCATGGTGCAAGCCAGAAGAGTTTCCATCTGAGTAGGAAAATATTTCTGTTGTTGTGGGGGGGGGGGGGGGGTGGCTGTTTTTTTTACTGCAGTGTTCTTATTACCATCTGTAGTATTATATAACAAATTCTCTTATGAAAATTAACTTTTAAGAAACCAGAGTATCAAGCCTTAAAAACTTTTGGTTGTCTTTGGTTTAGTTCGACTTCTTCTAGGAATAGAATTAAGTTTGAACCAAGAGCTAGGACGTGTATGTTCTTACGATAGCATGTAGTTGTCAAAAGTTTGAAGTTGTTAGACCATTTTCAGTGGTCCTTCAAATTTTACTTTTTCCTTCATTTTGAAGATAAAAAATGAACAAATCTACTCTAATAATCCTTCATTTTCATCATAAAAATGAAGGAGTGAACAGTGTTCCTTCAAATAACTTTTTCTTTACCAAATATGACTTTAACTTTTGAAATATTTTTACTTTATACACAAACAAAACTATGTATTACTATTTAGTCCAAAGAAAATTAAAAATTATGCATTCTCATTTAGCCAACAAAATTATAAATAAAACTGCAATAATTATATTTATTAAATTAAAATTACAACAACATAACCACGATCAAATTTGAGATAAATAGCATAATTAATACTAAAAATCAAAGATATATACAACTTAATACAAGATACACTAACAATTTAATAATCTGTAAAACCACTTCCCGATTAGCAATTAATAGTACTTGATGATTATAATAAATGGTTAAAAATAAAATAAATGAGGATTAAAGTTATAAAAATTAAAAAAGAAGGTGTTGTCAGAAATGGTACATGATGATTAAAAATATTGGAAATATTGTTTTGAAGGAAAAAATGAAGACAACTCTTGGAGAGAAACAGTTTCTTCATTTTTTCTTTCATTTTTGAAGAAACTCTAAAAATGAAGAATTATTGGAGATGCCCTTAGACATAGAAACACATTCAGTATCTGCTTCTCAACATGTCATTTTCTATGAGGATACTTTCCCCTTTGTATATTCTACCATCTTAGATGATACGAAGAATTTCTTTCCTCATCTTTCTTCACATGCTTCCTTTGATGAACATTTTTCTCTTGTGCAATCATCTTTTGATGCTCATCCTTATCGTGGTGAGTCATCTTCCGAGGTTTCTGTTCCTTCTGAAGTTAAATCTCACAAACAAAGAAAAATGCCATCTTATTTGCAGGAATTTCATTGTTATAAAACTAATTCTCATATTACTTCTCTTTATCCTCTCCTCAATTATATCACTTATTCATATTTATCTGAATCTTTTAGTGCTTTCATAAACATTATCACCACTATTCCTTTACCGCAAAGATATTCAGAGGAAAAGAAAGATAAGGTTTGGTGTGGTGAGTGATGTTATGGGCTTAGAGATTGGTGCTTTTAAGAAAACGTCAACATGGAGTACGGCTGAATTACCACCTGATAAAGTGGTGATAAGATGTAAGTGGTTGTTTACAGTGAAATACAATGCTGATGAGAGCATTGAGCAATATATCTGTAGAACCACAAGATTAGTTAGCATAAAACTATAGTTAGTACAAGGCCACTGTTAGTAAATATATGATAACTATTTGTGACGTGAAATCTTACTAAATATAACTTTTTGAATGATTTATGCAAATAGATTTTATTCGATGATTTCTTATTTTAATATTTTTTACATCTGTAATACTATTTGTGCGGATTGCCTTACGAAAATAGCAAAGTTGGAAGCAGAAGCAGGCTCAAAGGCCCAAAAAATCCATTAGCGGGACTGCGAATGTCGACCATAGATCTATTGTCATCTTCACTATCTCCAAGCAATATGTCTGAAACGAAATTTTTGACTTCCCCATGATGAATGAAAAGGTTTCAACATTGTTTCTTAGTTTTTTTAAAAAAGATGTCTCTATTTTTGTAATTGTGTTCATACAATACGAACCAAATGTTTCGAATCTTAACATACAGGATTCTGCAAACAATATTTTTCTCTTGTATAAAAAGAAACCAAGATAGAAAAGCAAAACAGTATGGCCCAATACTTTAATTATCTCGCCCAATCACAAAGTAAAAATTATTTCCTCTTGTATCATTTATAATTTCAGGACTTATCAACAGCTTGACGTTTGAATAAGCAATCAACAAACAACATTTAGTCTCTAGGCTCTCTAGCCTACTAATAATATCTCCTATAGCATGAGGTTCGGAAATTCAAAAATAAAGGATTGTTTATCAATTCTTTCCTGAAATATTTTGCTTCGCAGAGCCGTTGGCGTTCCAAACCTCTTTCTGAACCTACTTTTCAAAGACCCAATCACTTTCTCTTTTTTTTTTTTTGGCTCGCTTCTTCGTCTCTCTCTCAACTTTCCTTTATATCTCTCAAAATTAAAATCTTTCCCCCTTTAAATCTATAGATGAAAAAAGAACCAAAAAAGGAGATTCTGCTTCTTCGTTTGAATAAATCTTCCTTTTTCTTTCAACAATATGTATCTTCTTTTAGTTACTTCTTGTGTTTGTTTTAGTTTTGACAGTTGGGTCTCCAATTCTTAAATTCCTAATAAAATATAAAAAATAAGAGAGGATGATGAAAAGATCTTCATTTAGTTACAAGAAGAGGTAGTTCCTCTCTCATATTACTAACACTCAATCTCAAGATGAGCTTAATTTTCAAGAAACTGGTTTGAGTGAAGAAGTAAATTGGCTTATGAAGGTTGCAAAATTCATTATGGATTTTTCTAAAGTCACTAGCTTTTTTGATCTCCTTGTTTTATCATTTACTGAAATAAATTTTTGTTTTTTATTTGAGATGAGGAGAAAGTAGCATTGGTTAAGCTTCTTGAGGAGAGAGAATATCCTTTTGTTCAATTTACCTTTCATTTTGATAACTTGTTAAAATGCAATGAATTCAACAAAATATATTTTCTTTCATCAATAAAATGTAAAACATTAGAGTTAAGCAGATACAAATTGAGGAATCTACGAGAAGGCTTACACAAATTGTGATTGCAAAACTTGAGTCTTGCTCAAACCAATTCACAATTCTTGGCTGTAAGATTCATCGTTCACTTCCTTTTCTTGATTTGTCTCTTTGCTTCAGATTCTGGTTGTTATATCAAAACTATTCTTGTTTTTGCAGGAGATCAACTTAGCTAGAAACAAGGTGAAACCCTAAACTTACTCTCAGCTCACGTGTTTTGGTGGTTCTTTGTCTAAGATTGGATATGTTTCAGGTCAAAACGTTTCACCACGAGGTTACTTGCAAAAATGTTTTGCTTAAGGCTAAAAACTATAAACAAGAGGTGTAGTCTCTTTAAAATATTGCATTTTTAAAACATTTGCTTTTGTATTTCAAACCAAAATTGTATATGTGTTTCTTAATGTTTTTCATACTTTTTTGGGTCAGGCAGATGAAAAGACAACCAAAAAATGTACTAACAACTGAGAATGTTCTTAAGATGGTGGTTCAAGAATTGAAGAAACCTTCTGTACGAAACAGAAGGCAATACATCAAAAGCAAATGTGCATATCTAATAATCTTCTTGCTTCGTAAATTTATTTATTTCTGATTGATTTTCTGTTTTTCTTTTTCTTGATGGTTTCATCTACAGCTTCAGGAGCACACATAACACAAAAGATTGAGTCAGAAAAAAGAGAAATCGGCAATTAAACGGTTTTTTTTCACTTGAACCCTTGAACGTTTGCAACTTCAATTTTTGGCTACATGCTCCATGGTTTCTTGATTTTTATGTTACATGAGGCAGTTAAGAAGGAAAACATCAAGAGTGAGATCAGCAACGCAAGAAATGACAGAGAATTTGTTTGAAACCAAAGATCTTCAACTTAAAATGCCTAATTACATTTGTCAACAAGATTACTCGATAATGACATCACATAATCAAAAGAAGGAAGAGGAAGATTTACGAAGAAGTAACCTTCTTACAAATTGTAAGGTTCATAATCAATCACTAGTCAATCAAACTTTGCGAAGAGCAGCTGAGAGGTTTCAATCAATACTATGTTAATAAGGTCTTAGAGACTCTTACTGTAAAGGAATGTTTGTGTTGTGATGGTTTTGTTTTGAGATGTTATTAATCTCTAGACAGTTGTACTTATAAGCTAAATAATCTTATAATAACATTTAATTCGACCAAATATTCATAAAAATTATCATGTGTCTCGTCAATCATAATACTGCAGATCATTTGAATCCAAAACATAATTTAATAGAACAAAGATGAAATTTTATTAGTGTTTTTTGAAGTAACATTTCACGAAAAATAAATTTTAGTGACCACAATCCTATAACTTCTGTGAAAAAAGAAAATTCGATATGCAATTTTGATGGACTACCTCGAAAAAAGAATAATAATTGGTATATATATATAGCCAAAATCTTTGTTATGTTTTCCATAATATTACAAAATTGAGAGTGAAATATCTCTTCCTCTCACTATGTTACTATGGAGAACATTTTCATAATATGAATAATTTTGTTTAAAAGTATATATGAGAGCGATTATTTTACTGTAGAAATTCCTAGATCTTCGCCTCTTTTCGTCGCTTGGTTTGAGGTTCCGATGGGGATCCTCTGCCGCCAATTCCTCCTGATCTGCTCATACTGAATCCTTCAGCTTTGTATGGTCCTTCGCCTCCACCTTCTTCTCTTTCCCCTCCAGATACTGTTATGCAAGATGTGGTTCTCTCTTCACCACTTGTTTCTGCTATAATTCCCGAATCTTCTTCTCTTTTCAAGAAAAGAGTTCTAGGTGATACATCTTCGGGGTCTTTAGGTATTTTAGAAGCTGTTCCACTGAATCATTCAATATCTGCTTCTGATAGAAATTTCGGTGTCAAAACGAACCCAGATCATCGGTTTTTTCTTTCACACCTTGCCTTACTTTCAAAGGAAGTATGTGCGGATTTCAACTATGCGAAAAGTCTCCAAAAGAATTGCAATATTCAAAATTCTATGGTTCTTGTCACCTTCTCAGAGCATGGGATTCGGAGGGTAAAAGTTCCCAATGTAGTGTTTGAAAGAGATGCTTAACAGCACTCTGATTGCATAGTGGGAATCTTTTATGGTAATCCTTTGTCTTATGGAAAAATTTGGAGCGTTCCTAATTTCCTTTGGGGAAAGGATAAGAAACTCACCATTCATAATCTCACAGTGAATGCTTTCCTCTTCCGTATTCCCTCGGCTTCTCTCAATCAACGGATTCTTCACCACGAGCTTTGGAGGGTGGCAGACTCACCTTTCTTTGTCACATAATAGAAAGCTTCAATTAGCTTTAACCCTCCTTCTATTCAACACCGATTTGGGCTTCAATCCACAATATCCCTTTTGATTTAATCACTGACGAAGGTCTGAGTTTCATAGTTTGTCCCATAGGTATTATTTTTGATGCAAAGTCATTTACTAGTGTGAATTCAACAACCATAAAAGCTGTGGTGGATCTGATAAAGCCTCTCCCGGACTTGATGGAGATTGAAAGTGAAGATGGTCAGATAATTTCTTTGAATGTGTCTTAGCCGTGGCTTCCTCTTCTTTGTCCAGTTTGTAATGAAATATGACACAAAGAGTCGCTATGCCCAAAGACCTCAAAAGATCGTAGAGGAAAGAAAACAGCTTCGAGTTCAGGGCTATCTATGGCAGAAAAATTGAATGTCCAGTCAGGCAAATCAAATGTCCAGACTGAAAAAAAGAGAAGTTTGGAAGGGAAAACCTGCAGCGGAATTTGGAAATGCAGGGTTAAATCTGAAATCGAGTATCATTCAACCAAAAGATCAGGCTTAGTGTGTTGCTTCTGTGAATATACTTGTGGCCCAGAATAAACAAGAATCAGTTACTGTATAACAATACAAATTGGATAAAGTTGCTTCAGATGCTCTTGTGGCCATTTTCACTATTGAAGCTCAGGCTCAAATGGTTGCTTTATTTGATGAGAATTTGGAAACAAAAGTTCTAGACAAACCAAAGGGAGCTGTCAAGTCTGGTTGCGGTGAGGACTCTGATTTTACAGTGAATATTCGTACTTCCCCTGCCAGGTAAGTAAATGTAGCTACCTCTAAAGACCTCTCCAGTGTCATAACAAATGCTTTTAGTTTGTTATCGTGTGAATAATCAGTTATTGAGAAGACAGAAAGCCAAGTTATTGTTATCCAGCAGCCTTCCTCGCAATCGCAATACTACACACCTTCGCCTCCAACTTCAGGTTCTCCTAAGAATAAGAAGAAAAAGCAAAAGTTGTCTAAGAGTTCACCGGTCTCTGGTGGCGATGTTCCTCTGTTATTAGAGGATCACCACCATCAATAAATCCCTTTATGTGTGATACATTTTTTTGGAACGTGGGGGGTCTAAATGAAACATCGAAGCATCGCCCGCTAGCAAATTGGATCGTACTAAGCCATTTTCTTTCGGATCCCTTCTTGAGATGCATGTTAGGGAATCTAATAAGGACTATATTATGTCTGCGATCTGTCCTGGTTAGACATCTATTTCTAACTATCAATATTCGGTTTTGGGGAAGATTTGGATAGTATTCAAGCGGCCGACTGCTATCACCCCTCTTTTTGTGGATAAGCAATCAATCACTTGTGAAGTTATATTAGAAGATGGTATTTCCTTCATCTACTCAGAAATAAATGTTTTTAATGATTTATGCGAGAGGAAGGAGTTGTGGCTTTCTCTGCAGGATTCCTATATCTCTTTCAACATAGCAAACAAACCTTGGATGGTAAATGAGGATTTTAATGAGATATTATTGCCTCATGAATCATCTAATCCATTTTTAATAAGTTCTAAGGCGGCTATGATATGTTTTGGTGAATGCTTAGCATATTTGGATCTTTTTTATTTGTCTTCGCAAGGTTCAAAATTCACATGGTCAAATAAAAGTCCTTCAGCTCCTGTTGCAAAGAAGCTTGAGCGATGTCTTATAAACGATCATTGGTTGATGTTATTCCCATCGGCTCATTATATTTTCGAGCCCCCAGATTTCTCAGATTATAATCCATGTCACATAAAGCTGCTCACGCCTCCGCTAGCTTTTGGAAATCGACCATTTAAATTCTTTAACATCGTGGAAAAGCTACCATCTTTTCTACCATGTGTGAAAGAAGCGTGGGAAACTTCAAGGAGTGTGGCTATTAATCTCAAGACATCTTGTTTTAAGCTAAAATCTTTGAAGCAATGACTTTAATCGCTTTGCAAGAAAAAATTCATTTCTCTGGAAACTTGAGTGCTAGAAGCAATTTTGGTTTTGCAACAAGTTCAACTTCTGGCTTTGAATGTTCCCTCTCCTGCAAATATCTTGATGGAGCAGGAAGCTCGAGATAAATGGATGCTACTTCGATTGGCTAAGGAGAGTTTCTTTAGATAAAGATCTCGAATTAAATGGTTGGGAAAGGGTGATCTCGACACTAGGTTCTATCATCTGGTCACAACAGCTCAGAATGCTTCAAATGCGACAAAATATCTTGTAAAGGGAGATGGATCCAGAACTTTATCGCTAAAGGAAACTCATCTCTTCGCTGAGGCGTATTATGCAGTGATTTTCAACACGATCAAAGGGGACTACTCCCCTTATATATCAACATATCTTGATAGTCTCGTAATTTCAAGGTGTTCAGATTTACAGCAGACGATGTTTGCTGGGCCTTTCTTCGCAGAAACAATCAAATCATCTCTATTCAAGATGCCTTAAACAAAACCCCAGGGCCAGCTGGTTTCCTGGTTAAGTTTTTCAAAGCAAGTTGGAAATATTATGTGATGAAGTTATTGGAACCGAGAAGGAGTTCTTCAGAACAGCTTTCATGCCAACGTCTCTAAATCTACTTCTTTGGTTTTGATTCCGAAAAGGCAGGGGCAGATGCTTTGAAGGATTTCAGGCCTATTTCATGCATAAACACAGTTTACAAGCTTATTACTTTCTTGATTTCTGATCTATTGAAGAGGGTTCTACCTCAAATCATCCTGCCTAATTAAATGGATTTCGTAAAGGACCGCCTCTTATTGGAAAATGTTCTCTTGGCAGCTGAGGTTTTGCAGGGATATCATCGGCAAAATCAATCTCCGAGAATTACCTTGAAGATTGATATTGTAAAAGCATTTGACTCGATGCATTAGGATTTCATTCTTACTTGTCTTGCTGTTTATCGCGTTCCTGATTCTTTCATACCATGGGTGAAAAGCGGTATCTCCACTCCTACGTTCTCGGTAAGTATTAATGGAATAACCTCAGGTTACTTCAAGGAGAAGACAGGTATTCACCAAGGGGATCTGCTATGTCTCATTTTGTTTGTCTTAGCCATGAATGTTCTGTCTTTAATGTTGAAAAAGGTAGCAATAAATGGAGTTTTCAATTACTATCATGGTTGTGAGTATCTACAATTGACTCATTTGTCTTTTGTAGATGATTAACTGATTTTTATTGATGGATCAGTTCAGTCAGTGGCAGGAGTATTTTCTGTGCTCTCACTATTTAAAAAGCTGTCTGGTTTGGCGGTAAATATCAGTAAGACTTCTATGTTCTCTTCAGGGTTATCTGATGTTGTTTTGGATCAGTTACAGAATCGGTTTTCTCTGGTTCAGGGATCCCTTCCAATTTGTTATTTGGATCTTCCACTTTGTTCAAGAATGAAGTTAAATGGGTGGACACACAAGCATTT